TATATATATATATATATATATATATATATACTTGGGTTCCCGCACATCATGATAGGAACACGGTACAATATAACTCATTATGATGAGTTCTTGATCGTATATAACAGCATTTTTCAATGTTTGACTGCCACACTAGTTAACCCTTCCCTTCTTAACTGCGATAAAAATTACGATATGGGCAGTCACAATCCAGACCAAGATGTCTCGGTATTTACACGTACCTTGCCAGTTAGTTGGGTCAGTTGGGCCAGTTGCATACCTTTACCACCAACCAGTTGTGAGGAAGCACATGCGGGATTGGTGAAGTCCAGTGTTAGTGCACTATTGTTAATTTCTTCTCCCACTTAAAATGCCAAATCATAACATATGACAAATGTTAATAAATAAAAAAATAAGCAAACAAATACGCAAACACCAACACATTAATATTGAATTATGAATTACATACTAAAGTTATCAATAAAGAAGTAACCATGGTTAAAAGCTATATACAAATATAAATATATAATCATAATACCAAAAATAAATAATTATATATTATTATTAACTATACCCTATAACTAATAAAAGCCATATATTAGCCCCATACGCACACACACACACACACACACACACACACATACTAAAGTTATCAATAAAGAAGTAACCATGGTTAAAAGCTATATACAAATATAAATATATAATCATAATACCAAATATAAATAATTATATATTATTAGCTCTTTACTTTATGCATATATCATTATGTATTCTACGTAGACTTCTAAGTACTGGTATTCTTCTGTTGTGCTCTTGTGTAACGTGTTCATGGCACATTGCCGAGTGATTGGATGATGCGTCTACGAATGATGCGTTGTTAGGGTTTAGTATCCAAGTGACGCTAGTGTCCGGCGCATACAGCTGTTCACGTGTTTCAGACGGTGCGCCATGGCTTCCCGCATCGACCGAGCGCGATGGCCTATGACCCAATGCTTAAGCTGCTAGCCATCGGTACTCGCAATGGACAAGTCAGGATGTATCCTTGCCATAGATCTGTTGCTCAACTAGCGAGGTGCTCGAATTTAGGCTCGATATTGCTAGAAAGAGCTTGAAAACTCGTGGGGAAATGTTTCATCGTGTGATTATGGAGCGTGGTAGGCTTGGACGGGTGTACAGGGAGTATATGGGGTTACGCATGTGATGATAAATCAGAATGAAACCTTTATGGTTATTTAGAATTCGGAAGTCGGTTGATTTGAGATGTGGGGTTTGGACTGTATGTTAAGACACAGTTGAGCGTCACTGCATATTCCTCGTGTACTTGAGACAATGAGTTATAATGTGTTCTTTACACAAGAACTCCCAGTTTCTGTGTGTATGTGTGCGTGTTCGTGCGTGCGTGTCTGTGTGCGCGTGCGTGCATGCGCGTGAGTGTGTGTGTGTGTGTTTGTATATGTATTATGTGTTGTCTCTCTCTGCGTGCGTGCGTGCGTGTGGGTGTGGGTGTGTGTTTCAAGTGGCGATTGCACCTCCAGTTGCATAGACAGCATAGAGAGTATAATGTACGGTGTACGCGGGTCATGTGCCCGCATCCTGTGGTGGCAGGCATTTATTTTTAATACGGTAAATGTAACCTTAGACTTATTCCGAATCAAATGCGGTCCAAATTTCTTAGACGAACGTGTGTGGGTTAGCTGAACGGTGGGTAGCTAGTCTTGTTCCCTGTTTGTTCAGCGTGATGTCCCAGGCCCCCTGCTGCTGTCCGTCTCAGTCAGTGCAGTGTAGGGCGTACTCAGTATATTAGCGGTTCCATAACTAGCTATTTTAAGCTGCGAAATCTTCGAAAATACTGAGGTGGTGTTACCCACATGTGTGCCGGGTCGAAAAATTCGGCGCGGAAACGGGGTGTGAGTGTTGGGATTCACCGACCACCATCGGGGAGGCTCATTGATTATTCTTATTATTATTGATTATTGATTATTGGGTAATTTATTATTAGCTCATCTGACGTAGTGCATTAGGTGCAGGCTTGTAGTAATCGCATGATTGTCCCGTCCCGTCGGCGTTCGTGCGTCGGTCGGAACAGTTGGAGCAAAATGTAACCGCTCGACTTACGGTCTACGGATATTCGGGACGTGGGGGGGGCGTAATCCGACAATTGAGTTGGGATGTCGAAAAGCTGTGGGGGTCAAAGGTCAAGAGGTGTAAAAGAAGGGGAACATTCACTCGTTAACTTAAGGTTAATAGGGAGGAAAATGCGAGAATTGCGACACCAAATCTATCAGGGACTTGACTAGGCTCGTGATTAGTCAGGTGTATAAGCATTGCCATGGATAGGAAAGCCATCACTGTGCGAAATTCGGACGGAGTCAGCAGTCAAGCGTCAAATTCGGGCGAGTGACAGATTTATTGACATTTATCTGAGGACCATGGTCTGCGGAGCGATTGGAAACTTTTTTGTTTAGCGGTTGACCTAGACTTTTATGGGCTTTATATGAAAGGACCATAAAATGTGGCTTTGCCACTTGACTCTGCAAAGGTAAGTTGTAAGATAACCTTTTGCCCTGAAGAGGAGGGTTAAACATGGATTTGTTTACTGTTAGAAAGAATTTGACTGCCCGGTGTGTTAGTAGAAGCTATGACTGCCTGGAGTATGAGGGCCTACATGTCAAGTGAAATTTCAAAAGGCTAAAATTTGGGTGAAGAAGGGTTATGCTCCTTAAAATCGATATAATTTCTATATGGACATTCCGTACTGGTCAGTGTGTAGCATTGTATAACTTTATGCCACTGCCAGTGCATGTGGTGGTGATAATACTGTATAGTTTTTGCCGTGCGTTAAAGTTAGTTTTACAAGGTGCTAGCTCTCTATTTGTCAGCCTGTAGGCTTGCGTAAAGTAAATTGGATGAGTGCTTGCCTATTCTGTCTTGCAAATAGTTGTTGCTACTACGTCACGATGGGGCTTCCTATTCCATTTATTATATAAGACACGTTAAACGTACGCCGCATCTCGGTGGCAACTTATCATAACGATCTCAACGAACATTCCTTCGAGAAGGTTCCTGATACCCATCCCTGGTGCCTCCACCTGTTTTGGCGCAAATGTGAACACATTTTGGAACTCACAGGGTTACTAAGAATCCACACTCCACCACCAGAGTCACCGCCCAGAAGGTGAGATGACGCTGTCGCTCCGCGGCTAAGCTTGTTGTAAGTTATCAGGACTGCCAGTGTAGCGACAAGGGTCTGTGCTCTCAGAGTAGGGCCTGCACATACATCTCTCGTGTTCCATTTTCCTTCCCGGTGCAGCGCTCTTCTTCAGGTATTTCAGATGTACTGACCAGGTTCTATCTGGGTTTTCACCTTCATCTGCGGAAATTTAGGTTGCGTAGACTCCCGCTCTTGCACAGCACCGGCATGCACGCAAGCGACGCACACACGCATGCACCGCGCGCACGCATGTACATGCACAAATGCACGCAGCACACCTTCAACGCCACACACCACACACACAGACAATACCCACGCACGCACA